TTTAAATTTGTCTCAACACTTTAAAATAAATGTTTTGAAACATGTGTCACCATTCAAAAGTTGATCATTGGAAACTAATGTATGAATATTTCCTTCTCACTTACATACTTAGAAATATATGTAAACGACATAAACACCAGTTGGAAATTTACTTCATTTACTGTGTGTACTTCAAATTAATAGAGCTTGCATATTTTTGTAGGGTTAATCCTGTAACTTTATTTCTGAGTGTTCATTGGGAACACACTTCTAGACTATGTGTGGGAGGCACAAATACATGGATACAGGTCTGACAATTACGTTCCCAAACTCATCCTAGAAAAAGTGCTACATACCTCATTACTGAATACAAAATGGTCACCATCAATGCACTCCCCTTGGGAAGCTATGCACGGATGCCAGTGCCTAGTCCACCCTTCAAAGCAATTCTGGAACTCTTTTTCTGGAATGGCCATCAGAGCTGTCATTGTATTACCCTCGATGTCCTGAATGTCATCAAAATGTCTTCCTTTCAATATTTATTTTATCTTTGGGTATAAAAAAGAAGTCATTAGGGGGCCAGATCAGGGGAGTAGGGAGGGTGTTCCAATACAGTTATTTGTTTACTGGCTAAAAACTCCCTCACAGACAGTGCCGTGTGAGCTGGTGCATTGTCGTGATGCAAGAGTCATGAATTGGTGAAAAGTTCAGGTTGTCTAACTTTTTCACGCAGCCTTTTCAGCACTTCCAAATAGTAAACTTGGTTAACTGTTTGTCCAGTTGGTACAAATTCATGATTAATAATTCCTCGGATACAAAAAAGGTTAGCAATATCATTGCAACAAGTTTGCAAACTTAATTGACATCCCTAGTATGTTATCATATTGTAGCATAACACACACATAAATATGAAAGAAAATTAAAATATATTATTTCTTGAGATATTTTTTTCTAATAACAAGATTTAATAACGTGAATAAAAATAAGAAAAATAATATTCAATTAAAAACTGTTTATATATGGAGATACACTTTTCCTTATTTTGTTGTTATGTAGGTGAGATCTCAAAAACTTTTAAAATTATAAAATATTTCCCCTGAAGCTTAAAAATAATAACTAATTTTTATTGTTTTATTAGACTTCATATTTATCAAGTATAAAGATGTGTTTTAATGATTACCCTATTATTGTGTGAATTTGTCATTTGTTAAAAGGGAAAGTTTTGATTACAAGCCTGCAAGTAGCCAGTAACCAGTATGTTTTGAGGTGAGTTATAGATATCTCTAAAAGATAATGAAAAGTACGAGAACTAGCTATGAAAGAAATATTGTTTACTTGATGTTTTAAATAAGCTATGGAAAATTTTGATGCTTATATCTAAAATAGTTTATCAATTAAATTTATCTTTGAAAATTCTCTGTTAACAAATAAAAACATATGAAACAAGGTAATGGAATAATGGTAAAAATGATAGAGAGGGAAATAGTGGACAGAGAATTTTTCATTCGCATAAACAGTGCCTGTATTGAAAATAGCATCAAAAATTTCTCTTAAGAACCATGTTTTATTGAACGCAAGAATATAGCAGTAATGACAAGTTTTTGAAGAATATAACTGCTGCCACTCTTGCTGTGGGCATAAACTCTCAGAACTATGACTCCAACTAGTAAATATGAATTTGAGGAGTCTCCCAGAGACTAATTAAACAACTTTAATAACATAAAATTTCATGAAAAAGCATCTTTAAGACTATTCCTTAGTAATAATTCAATTATTGATTTAATATAGCAATATTAATTGGTATTTATCACTCTATAAAAATAGACCTTATCACTTCTCTGCTTGAAACTGTTCCAAAGAACAATTAATTTTTTTCAAACTCACCCAGACATGCATAATCTTATTAATTAAATTATGTAATGTTTATATCTCTTTTCAAGTACCTTTTCGCAACAAGTGTCCATACTTACATATTTTGATTAATTCACACAAGATCATTGGATGTTCATATGTGTGTAAATAAAAAAGGAATAATGTAATTTTGGTTTAAGGTTAAGACTATCATTTATAATCATAAATCATGATTATGAACCAGTCTCTTCTGAAGAAATGTGAGATTATAGGTATGTTAGTGATGTGTAATATTACGTTCTTCTATATTCCTTCATTAGATTTCATATGTCCATAACCTACTACAGTACATAAGCCAATAGCATTTTTTGAACTGTTTAACCATATTTATATAATTTCATTAAAAAAAACTGAGCTCAATATTTTAAGCATAGTCTAAAAGAAATTCTTCAGTAACTACATTGTAAACAGAAAAAAAACATTTAGAGAAAAAAGACAGAACTTATGAAATGGTTAAAAATTAGGAGTGATTATAGTTTTAAAAATTGTGTCTGGTTAAAGAAAAGCCAAACAATGATAAGTATCAATTGATTCCATTTTCTTTAAAAAAAATAATAAGGGTTAGACACATTTGGGGGACATGTTAATATTTAACAACGGAACTCAATACTATTACACAAATTACATAAAATATAAGCTACCTGTTATAGTTCTGTTTTGCTCCCTTTGGCCGATGTCCTGTGGTAGTCACCATAAGCATGGTACTTCTCTTTCTATACACTAGGGAGAGGTGTGACATAATTACTCTGGACGGGTGGTGGGCAAATTGATGTCAATAAGGATGCATTTCCTATCACTGGTCTCTTCTTAGACACCGTGTTTCTCCCTTCATTTGCATAGCAGCACATCTAATTACAGATAACCAATAAACCATACTGCCCTTTCTTTGGAATTTTTTCCTTCCCTTGTTTTTGCTTTATCATAAACCTTAAGGCTATTCTACGACTTTCCTTGAATTAGTCTAAAAAGCAAAACAAGTCACAGATTGGTTCTATTAAAATAGTAATGATTAATAAATGAGTGTGTAATCACTACTCATTGTTTAAGTTAGCTGTTGCTTTTAAAGCCTCAAAAATCTCACCTTCCAAGGTACACCTGTTGGGAGAGTGGTACTAACAGAAAAGACATGTAAAGATCAGATTTCACAAGGCAGCCTGGTTAGGCACCCACACTGAGCAAAACAACCCAGATCTCTACAAAGCTCTAGCTCCCTTGTTTAGCAAAGATATATGCATGGCAAACTACCTTTCAGAGAAAATACAAAGCCATTTTAGGATTTGAAGGTCTGGCTGTAAAGAGTTCCTCTTTGAATTTTTCAACTGTTAAAGATAGACTCTTCAGGGAGCGGTGGATTTTGGATCAGCTCTGACTGTAAATGCAGACTATAGGTTATATAATTGAATCCACCGGGAAATCAACCACTTTTTTAAACATGAATCTTTAAAGCAATTATCCCAACAATAATCATCAGAACTTTGTTGTAATTGGTCTGGATTTGATTTTCTTTGAATCCTGAATGATTCATGGTACAGACTTGTAGGTAAGTCATTCACAATTTATAAATGGCAACTTAACTTTAGTATTTATGAATTGCAATCAATACTCTCACAATCAAAACACTCACCTTTTCTATTTCAATACTTCAATTTTCCTTTTCCTTCTTAACTCTTTCCCAGAACGGCTAGATCACGAGAAAGTAGTCCTTACTTGTGGATTTGTGATAATAGTTTGGGAAAAAAGAATCTCTGAGATTTGTAACTGAGGTTGTAAATGAGTCGATCAGGAGAGCCTCTCTCTCTCTCTCTCTCTCCTTTCCTCCCTCCCTCCTTCCCACCCCATGTGTGTGCTAGTGGGGGTGATAGTGGGGGTGGGGATGTTATTTACAAAACATAAATCTTAACAGATTTCCCACTGACCTGCCTTCCTGTTCATGGTTCAGCTTCAAAGCATAGGAGGAGCTTTGGCAAATGTGCTTATCAACACTTATTTGGCTTAAGGAGATAAAATTCAAATTGCCGCATGCAACCGTAATAACAAGCTCGAGGTGATCAAAACACCAAACCTACTGCGCGTGGGTGGGTAGGTGGGTGTCCGCGTTACCTTCAATCTGGGCTGAGATGCGGATGACTGAAAAGACAGAAAAAGGTAGAGCCCTAAATATTACTCAGCCGGATTTGAGTTGTAACAAGCTACAAAGCTTGAATTGACAAGGGGCCTTTCTCCTTAAAGGAGAGGCGCTTTTCCTCTGGAGAGACCCGGCCTCGCTTTCCCTGCGCTTCTACTTTTCTTCTGAAACACTTTCATAATCAAGTGACTCTCCTTGCATGGGCGCCTGGGGACAGCTGATTTTCTCTGAGGATAAAGAAAGTTACATATGGATTGCTGTTGCTCGCGGTGCGTTTGCACCAGCACGGGCAGAAGCGGGCGCGCGAGTGCCCTCGCATTCACACGCACTCACTGAAATACACATCACACCCCCCAGAAACACACACACACACACACACACACACACACACACACACACACACTCTGCACCTCATTCAGACAGATCCATGAGAAGCCGGGTTTGCTTCTCCCTTGGTGTGGGTGTGTGTATAGAGCGGGCGTGTGTGTGTGTGTGTGTGTGTGTGTGTGTGTGTGTGTGTGTGTGTGTGTGTACAGAAACCCATCAGGAAGACCACAGCTACCTTATTCTGCACGCAAACTGCGGTTCGGGTTCCTGTGTACACCAGTCAAAAAAAATTAAATCGCTGTCAAACTTTTTTTTTCCTTTCATTTAATCGTCTCCTTTCAAGAGGAAGATGGTAGAGGAGCTTCTCTCGGTAGCCTGATTCGGGAGACCGGGCGGCGAGGCCCCGGGAGCCACCGCGACAACGGAGCAGCGCTGGGCTCTGCAAGCCGGGCAGGTCTCCCATCTAACTGATCTAATCAATGACTCTGTAGCGCTGGGGCTCTGGGCTCCGCCCCCGCCAGTCTCCTCTCCGCCTTCCATTGGGCGCGGGCGGAGGAGGCAGGGCCTTGCTCCTCACGCGGATTGGCTGGCAGGGAATCAGTATCAATGTTTAAGCGGCGGCGTGAGGTGAATAGAGTCAGTCAGCAAGAGGCGCTGAGCAGAGAGCAGGGACTGCGAGCCCCGCGGATGCGGCAGCGGCGGAGGGCGGCTGGGGAGACGCTACTCCAACTGTTGAATTTTCACATTTCATTTCCTTCGATGTTTTGCATGCGGAGATGGATTTATTTGCTTTGAAATCCGCACGTCTTTTGCAGGCTGTGAGCTGATCCTGACAAGCACCAGATTGAAAGGGACCACCCGTGACAGAAAAGGAGAGGAAAAAAAAAAACACACCAAAAAAACCCCTCCCACAACGGACTGCGCACGTAACTGTGCTCACCGGTGCTGGACTCTGTGAACAGAGAACGTTGAGAGGAAAATCATGAACTATGATGCGGGGCTAAGCTGTGAACAGTCCCTGGAATCCTGATTGTGTTCCTTTATTTTTCCCAAGACTCTAAAGCTTTGGGGGTTCCTCACGCCTAACCAAAAGGAGAGGTTGTTTTTTTTAAAAAAAATACATACACCTAGCAAAACAGACGCCTTGTTTTCCTGAGCCTCGGACTCCAGCAGAAAGAGGTAGAGTAAAAGTGCTGGCGGATTCAGCTTTACCTTCCTCCTTTCCTCCCTCCCTTTCTCTCGCTTTTTCTTTTCCTCCAAAACATGAATCTGGCTTTTTTTCTCTCTCTATAGAGTGAGTCAGAGAAAGCGTTAGGAGGAAGCCGCAACTAATATCTCTGTAAAGGGAGCACCATGAGGCGAGAGTGAATACGATTCGTTCCGCTGCCTCTGACTCATCCGGCAGATCGGAACACCTGCATTTAGGGATGTGTCATTCCCGCACGTCCAGGCGCCTCGAGAGCCCGCAATAGTGTGTAGACAGACCTGTACCTACCATCCCCTCGGAGGCAGCGCCCCGGGGTGGGCGGCCCTGGCTCGACCGTGCGGCCGCAGCTCCTCACCCCTACCCTCCCCAAGTCGCCCAGAGACTGCGAGAGCGAGACTGCGGGATGCATCACGCCAGACCTTGATGTGTTGCTTTCATCCAGCCCACTCCTCCTACTATTAAAAAAAAATTGAAGGGTTAAAAAAACAAACAAACAAAAAAAAAACAAAAACCGCACTTTATTCGCTTCTAATATTCATCACTTTTATTCCTCGCCAAGGTTTTCCTTTCTAGATGAAGAGGACTGGGAGACAGGGCCATTGGAAGCAGATGCTGAATGGAAAGAAAAGAGGCACTTGACAGCCCAGCCCTGTGAATGCAGAGACTGTTTTTTCCTTCTAGCGGGAGACAGGGAGAGTGTGTGTGCGAGAACGGGGAGGTGGCTCCCCCTTCCTTTTTATTCCGCCTCCCCCTCCCCCTTCAGATCTGCACATCCGACCATGAGTTGCCTGTTGATTTCCTTTCGCCAGGGAAGCAGAGCAAACTGGAATTAAACTGCAGCGAGAGAAGTCCTTGCTCGCCAGGGAGAGAATGGGATGGTAGCGGCGGCTGCTGGCCTCGCGTAGAAAAATCAGTGTGTGTTCTCCGAAGACAGGCGGAGATACGTCGATACGTTTCCCCCTTCCCAACAGACTCAGACCGCAAACGCCGATCAGGCTGTGTGGCTTTCTGGACTTCGAGGGGGGAGCGCCTTTTCCGAGGAAGAGCGGGAGGAGCTTGGGGGAGGGAGGAAACTACAAATCGGGACACTAGTTCTTTGCGCTGCATTTCCTCCCCCTCCCTCTGGCTGCTCGGAAAGGAGAGAGAGTGAGCGAGCCAGAGAGAAAAAATACGCTTGGCTGGGAGGATGCAGTCCGCCGTTCCTTCAGCCAGCAGTGCAAGATTAGATCTCTAAATGCAGCAAAACACTGCCTGAAAACAGGCTAGCCCGCGAAGGCAGCAGACATTTCACACGGCTCCGGGGAAGCTTCAAAATACAGCCGACTCTCTCCTCGTTGGTCCTCAGCCCCATCCATCTCATCACAGGAGACGAGAAACAAGTAAGGATTTCACTTTCCGATCTGCCTGGTGACACACCTCCCCGCTCCCTCCCCCACCCAATGTGAAGAGTATTCCGGAGGCTACCGGCGGGAGCGGATTTGCAGCGCCCTGGTGGGAACGAGGAAATCCTACGGATTCTTAGCTCATTATCATCCCTGCCAGACTCGATTTACTTCTTATCGCCGGCATCATCAACCAAGTTTGAGTCGCCAGAAGTCCGGGTGGCAGAGACAAAGCCCCGGGCTCGCCCCGAGCCGCAGGGAGCCGCCTTGCTCCGTGCCCCTGCAGCTCTGCTGCGCCTCTGCTTCTTGCCCAGTGCGGATGCTGTAGATCAACAGGTTCGGGAACTTGAGCGGAATAAGGAGAGACTGCCGGGTGCCGCAGCCCGGGCGCGGAGGGGAGGAAGGACCCACAGACTTGTGGCTGGCGTCGCGCGCCCACGCTGCGCCGGGGCTCCAGGCTGGCGCGCACCCATCCGCTGGCCCCTCCAGTCCGGCTGGTCCTGCCCCCACCCCGCCGGTCTGGGATGTACCTTTCCATCTGTTGCTGTTTCCTGCTATGGGCTCCTGCCCTGACGCTCAAAAACCTCAACTACTCGGTGCCGGAGGAGCAAGGGGCCGGCACCGTGATCGGCAACATCGGGAAGGACGCTCGGCTGCAGCCGGGGCTTCCGCCCGCAGAGCGCGGCGGCAGCGGCGGCGGGCGCAGCAAGTCCGGCAGCTACCGGGTGCTGGAGAACTCCGCGCCGCACCTGCTGGACGTGGACGTGGATAGCGGACTCCTTTACACCAAGCAGCGCATCGACCGCGAGTCCCTGTGCCGCCACAACGCCAAGTGCCAGCTGTCCCTCGAGGTGTTCGCCAACGACAAGGAGATCTGCATGATCAAGGTGGAGATCCAGGACATCAACGACAATGCGCCCTCCTTCCCCTCGGACCAGATCGAGATGGACATCTCCGAGAACGCGGCCCCCGGCACCCGCTTCCCGCTCACCAGTGCACATGACCCCGACGCCGGCGAGAATGGGCTCCGCACCTATCTGCTCACGCGCGACGACCACGGCCTCTTCGCGCTGGACGTCAAGTCCCGCGGCGACGGCACCAAGTTCCCAGAGCTGGTTATCCAGAAGGCGCTGGACCGCGAGCAGCAGAACCACCACACGCTGGTGCTGACCGCCCTGGATGGCGGCGAGCCGCCGCGCTCCGCCACCGTGCAGATCAACGTGAAGGTGATTGACTCCAACGACAACAGCCCGGTGTTCGAGGCGCCCTCCTACCTGGTGGAGCTGCCCGAGAACGCCCCTCTGGGCACCGTGGTCATCGATCTGAATGCCACCGACGCCGACGAGGGTCCAAACGGCGAGGTGCTTTACTCCTTCAGCAGCTACGTGCCGGACCGCGTGCGGGAGCTGTTCTCCATCGACCCCAAGACCGGCCTGATCCGTGTGAAGGGCAACCTGGACTATGAGGAGAACGGGATGCTGGAGATCGACGTGCAGGCCCGAGACCTGGGTCCCAACCCCATCCCGGCCCACTGCAAGGTCACCGTCAAGCTCATCGACCGCAATGACAACGCACCGTCCATCGGTTTCGTCTCCGTGCGCCAGGGGGCGCTGAGCGAGGCCGCCCCGCCGGGCACCGTCATCGCCTTGGTGCGGGTCACCGACCGCGACTCGGGCAAGAACGGGCAGCTGCAGTGCCGAGTCCTGGGCGGAGGCACGGCCGGCGGCGGCGGCCTGGGGGGCCCCGGGGGTTCTGTGCCCTTCAAGCTCGAAGAGAACTACGACAACTTCTACACCGTGGTGACTGACCGCCCGCTGGACCGGGAAACACAGGACGAGTACAACGTGACCATCGTGGCGCGGGACGGGGGCTCGCCTCCGCTCAACTCCACCAAGTCGTTCGCCGTCAAAATTCTGGACGAGAACGACAACCCGCCTCGTTTCACCAAGGGGCTGTACGTGCTGCAGGTGCACGAGAACAACATCCCCGGCGAGTACCTGGGCTCGGTGCTCGCCCAGGACCCAGACCTGGGCCAGAACGGCACCGTGTCCTACTCCATCCTGCCCTCGCACATCGGCGACGTGTCCATCTACACGTACGTGTCTGTGAACCCCACCAACGGGGCCATCTACGCCCTGCGCTCCTTCAACTACGAGCAGACCAAGGCTTTTGAGTTCAAGGTGCTCGCTAAGGACTCGGGGGCGCCCGCGCACCTGGAGAGCAACGCCACGGTGAGGGTGACGGTGCTGGACGTGAACGACAACGCGCCGGTGATCGTGCTGCCCACGCTGCAGAACGACACCGCTGAGCTGCAGGTGCCCCGCAACGCGGGCCTGGGCTACCTGGTGAGCACCGTGCGCGCCCTGGACAGCGACTTTGGCGAGAGCGGGCGCCTCACCTACGAGATCGTAGACGGTAACGACGACCACCTGTTTGAGATCGACCCGTCCAGCGGCGAGATCCGCACGCTGCACCCGTTCTGGGAGGACGTGACGCCGGTGGCGGAGCTGGTGGTGAAGGTGACTGACCACGGCAAGCCCACCCTGTCCGCCGTGGCCAAGCTCATCATCCGCTCGGTCAGCGGCTCCCTGCCCGAGGGCGTGCCCCGCGTGAACGGGGAGCAGCACCACTGGGACATGTCGCTGCCGCTCATCGTGACTCTGAGCACGATCTCCATCATCCTCCTAGCGGCCATGATCACCATCGCCGTCAAGTGCAAGCGCGAGAACAAGGAGATCCGCACTTACAACTGCCGCATCGCCGAGTACAGCCACCCGCAGCTGGGCGGGGGCAAGGGCAAGAAGAAGAAGATCAACAAGAACGATATCATGCTGGTGCAGAGCGAGGTGGAGGAGCGGAACGCCATGAACGTCATGAACGTGGTGAGCAGCCCCTCCCTGGCCACCTCCCCCATGTACTTCGACTACCAGACCCGCCTGCCCCTCAGCTCGCCCCGGTCGGAGGTGATGTACCTCAAACCGGCCTCCAACAACCTGACTGTGCCCCAGGGGCACGCGGGCTGCCACACCAGCTTCACCGGACAAGGGACTAATGCGAGCGAGACCCCTGCCACTCGGATGTCCATAATTCAGGTAGGAGACTTTTAGCATGACTGGGACTTTATTGCTGTTTTTGGAGCTGTCCTGAAACCTTTGGTACAGGACAAGCCACACTGCCAGCAGCAGTGAGAGGGGAAACAGGTTTTTTTGTTTTTTTTGTTTTTTTTTTTTTTTTAATGAAAATGGTTTACACTTCTGCCAAGGCCTGTACAACATATTCTGTACATAACCCCTCCCGTGTAAATAGCCTAAAATCTACAAGTTGTAAATGTCTTAACTTTTATGGCGTTTTTAAAGTTTATTTTTATAGGTTTAAAAACGTTAGCAGTGGTCAGTAGCAATAGTTTATCCTACTTTATTTTTATCTGTTGGTCTACTTTTCTTTCTGTAAAAAAGGATCCCCAGTGTAGAAAAAAATTGCTTTACTTAATTCACTTAAAACATGTTTAGTTCTATTAAAAAACTGATGCCAAATGAAGAAATGTAACCCAAATATTAAGAAGTTACTTAACAGCGTAGCAACCTGTCAGAATTCCAGAGCCTGAATCAATTTGAGCTAAGTTTTCCCTCCCCAAAATGTCAGTTTTATATTGAAAAAGTGTTTTAAAGGACATTAATCTCATTTATTCTTTAGCTGAAACTGCAGCATAATGCATTCAAGTGTAGCTTAAGCTTTGGAAATGTGACCTATGTCCTGAGGATCTTTCAAAAGTTTGAATAAATGTAGACTCTGGATAACGATAACTATCTATGAAGAGCTTGCATTTATTTTGTCCTGTAGTTTTCCTGATCTATTTCTTGGAGTCACTGAGGAATAAATAAAGCTCACCAGAGAGAGTCACAGGTTCATTTTGGGGTGTTCAAAACAGGAGGTGAAGTTTCACTAAAGGCAATTGTGCCAAAAAGAATTCCAAGATGCACTTAGTTTGCATATTGTGTAGTCTCAGTATATCTAAGCGATATTTAATATATATCTGGTAATATCACCCAAAGTTATTGATATATGAAAAAAACTAACTGACCCAGCATGGACATAGATTCTAACAGCAGGTTCTGTGTCTAGTCACTGCCAAGTGTCTTTTATCCACTATTGAGTTGTGTCACAGGAAAACTTAATTCTTGCTTATTATGGATGCATGTTGGTACAAATTACTCTGGATGAGCAGTATTTGAAATTCAAAGCTGAGTTTAACTAAAAGTGACACTTTCGGAAGATTAGTTTGGGGCAAATGAAAATAATGTGTTCATTATTTTATGCTTTGAAAAGCAAATACCTTTTAATGACACTTGACTCAGTGATGTTTTCATTATTAAAATTTCACAATCTTATCCTTTCTGAGATAAGTGTAACAAATACTAAACCTTAGCAAAACATACTTTCTTATAATGGTATAATGTCCTTGTAAAACACTCTTGTACTTGATGCTACTTGAATGCCAGACTATCAGTTGCAGTATTAAATCCCATTTTTTATGGTGTTTACTCAATACCAGTAATCATGATTTTTCTGAGGTCTATATAAAACTGAACAAGAAATTTCTCCCTTAAAAAACAATTGTGGTTTCTGAAAGTCTTTCCGTGAATGTGTAAAACTGGTATTTATAATAATCAATCTTTTTAGGAGATTTGTTAAAATATACATTTATAGATCTTTTGCAGTCATTTACAGATACACAGATGCTATATACTTGTATTTTTACCATTGACAGTTACAAAGATATCACAGAGGGTTAATGCTTAACCTTCCACTTGAAGTGCTATCAGTTGAATTCTTATTTAGGGTCCAAGTAGCAACGAGGTTGGTGCAGAATCCTCAGCAAGCCTCGCTCCTTGGTCAGATTAGTGAGAAACAACCTTGGATGAAAGTCTCTAGAAGGCTTTGAGGGACAGGGGTGCCTTACTGTATATTCAAGAACCATGCTGTTCTTGAAGCTGCTCATTTCTTGATGGATGGATGGATGCTGCTGTTGCTGCTGCTGCTGATAATTCCTCTCATTAGCAGGAAAACGTGGGCTAAAGTGAATCTCACACACACACACACACACACACACACACACACACACACACACGGAGAGAGAGTTTAAACAGAAAACAAAAGACAAACTTCCTTGCCATTCCTTTTTTCTACAATTTTAACCCATACCATAAAGACACACACAAAATCCTCTGAAGTTCTTGAAATTTTTTCCAAAGTGGCTCAGTTTCCTGTATTGCTCCAGCCCAGGAAATATCCTCAATATAAACTGTTAAAACAGGCTCTTTTTTTTTTCTTACTGAGTATTTTTTTCCTCCTGTAAAGGAATTCCTAATATGTTAATTTCCATTTAAATGTATCAGATATTTCTCAATATGTATTAGGGACAACAGCGTAAATTGAGTACAGTGACCTTTCTTTTTTCTTTTTTTAAACTAGTGTGCTACAAACACTTGGTGCTAAGTGACATGCCTAAATTAAGGTGTTCGGGTATCCCATTATCTGGTTTCAAGTGCACTTATACTTGGATGTCCTTAACACAGCTGAGGAAACACTATTTGCCTCACATGTGTTTCTGAAGGAAGAATTTTAATCCAACAGCGTGCACTTGAACTAGGAGCATCTAGATCTGGTTTATCTTTATTTTCCAGCATCTTGTGTTGAGAAGGTATGCAGTGTGTTTCTATAGATAGCATGAAAAAAGTTTCACAACTGTTTGAGCTACACTGTTAAAGAGCGGTGAAATGAAACTTAGAAACTTCAGAATTAATAAGACTCATGGTAGAGCTCAAATGAAGATTTCTTTAAATATCAAAAGATTTTGTGTGTGTTGCAGGACCTAATAGTTTAAGGTCAAGAGCTGTAGGTTCTTGGACATGAGGGTATTTTTACTGAATATGGATGCAGAACCATCGTGTAAACTGGTGTAGAAAGATTGGTTGGTGAGAAGAGACGTTTATTTCAGGTTTTCAAGAGATTTTATTTCAAGTTCCTCAGCTGAAGTGAAGTCAGTCTATGGAGTGCTTAAACAACAGTCTGGGGATTAAAATATCCTCAGTAGTGTGACTCATAATACAACATAGTTATAATGAAATATGTTACTCATTGTAAAGCTATAAAACTGACTTTGAAAAATAGGAGCACAGATTTTGTGGTAGGTAAGGCAAATTAATTGTCATGCCAATTTATAAAAGCACTTTTCATAGGAGCAATTTCTATGTGAATTATTTCATATGTTAATATGAGAATCTAAAATTGACATTACTAATTGTCACAAGTAACTGACTGATCATCTGACTGCTCATCATGACTTATTAAGATCAGTCTCAGAGTAACTTCTCAACAGGTGTTTTCAATGAAAGCTTCTCTGAGAAGAGGGCAGAAGGCTGGGATTTCTCCCCAGGGGGAGAATTTCTAGATTATTTTGAACAGCTGTGATTTCAGATTTTTCGGTAGCGCTACTACAAGTCATTTTAATATTCTTTCATAGAAGAAAATATGTTGAACCAGCAGAATAAGATATACTAAAATGATTTTTTAGAAGGAATACCGTGTTTTACAGTTCAATTTTAAAAGACTCACAGCAGCGTTGACTTTAGATTCGTTATGCTAGAAGAGAAAATCCTTTTGAGATATGTGCATGGCCTTTTCAGTAAAAGGGGATTAAATGCATGGTAAATATACAAAAGTGAAATTGAGACATAGAGGACTAAGTAAAATATTGTAGTGTAGACAACAAAACGGTATTTTAGAATGAAAAGGTGAAAGAGAAAGTATAGCTTTGCTAAACAGAAACATTATTCCTTGCCTCCCTTTATTCCTACTTCTCTAATACAAGAGATTCTTGACAATAGGAACTCAGATGAGGTCTCATGACCATGACCTTCAAAACTTCATACTCCAGATGTTAGTGGCTTCACTAACATGCACAAAGTGTGTGAAGGATTTTTTCTTCATTTGTAATTTTGAAGATACTTACTGCAAGGTTATTCTAAGACCACAGTTTGAATTGTTACATGCAGTCATTTCCATAAACTTTATATACATCTCCTTTATATGGGCTATGCTTGTCTGAGTAGGAAAGGAACATTCTTGCTTACTGCATGCCTCCAGAAGTGTCTTGTATACTTGTCTGTTTCATAAAGATTTTTAAAAGATAGCAGGATTAATTCCTGCTTCAAATTAACATGAGTACATAATCACAAAACTATTGTTTTATCGTGTATTAAAAGTAGTATGAGTGAAGTACAAATAAACTCAATTAGAAAGAATCAGCCATTACAGTGTTTTGACTATCTTTTGTACAAGAGTTTAAAACCCAAATTATTGTCATCATTCCTAATATATTGCTACTTTTACTCTTAGTTTTGTGTGTGCCCAGAAAAATCTGAGCTCCAACATAAATCTGTGTGCATTTCTCCATGTTACAATAAATGAAAACATAAAAAAATACAATTTTTAACTATATGAACTAGAAACCTAAGAATCTTATTTTTAATATTAGTTGATATAACTACTCATAAGGTAGTAACTTTTTCATCTATTAATTTTTAGTTTTCAATAAAATTTCTGCAGTACCAGCTAGGTAACACTTACCATCCTTATGCTGAGATGATAAGCCATCAGTCTTTTATAAATGTAAGAGGAAGATAGTTTTCAATTTTATTTCAGGTCTATGAGTAAGTTCTATAATTTTACTTGAGTTCTATGAGTGAATTCTATAATTTTATGTGTGTTCTATGAGTGAGTTTTATAATTTCAATAAATCTATCATACATGAGTCTACATGGAGGATTTTGGGATTCTATTCTTGGCATCTTCATGTTATGGAAGTCTGTGAAAGCATGAAAAATATCAGATCATAGAAAAGTATGCCCTACAATTCCTATCTCAACTCCTTGGACATAGTTTTTAGTCAAGAAAAAAAATTTACATGTTTTAAACAACCCAAAATCATATTTTCCAGAAACTTTTCTCTGTAAAGTAGGTGTTCTAATAGACATTATTCATCTTCATGCAGTGCATACCTGCAGGTTTATATATAAGGTTAAAATTAATT